CCTGACTTCGAGGCCAGCCTGGGCTATATAGTGAGTTCAGAGCCAGGCTGAACTACAAAGCGAGACCCTGTCTCAAAACAAAAAAGCTCTTTAGAGACCAAAAGGGGCACCCACCTCTAACCAGTAAGCCATGTCTGGGTATTATAGGCAGCTAAATTAGAAATTAATAAGCACCCAGACAGGCATAGGCCCTCGAGGGAGTCAGTGCAAAAGCTGAGAATGCATCAAAACTGTGGCTGGAGAAGCATGTGAAGATGATAAAACCTTGAGATTAAGATTACAAGGGCCAGGTTTACTTAGTTCCCTAAGGGATAAATGTAAATTTGAGATTATACTGTAACTGCAACCTCTCTTCCGGGATTTCCCATAGAAATAGACCATTACTTCACAAGGGGTGGCCGGGCCTCTCCCACCCACCGGGACTAAAACCGAGACTAAAGGCAAGACTAAAATACAGATTATCGACTAAGGTAATGGTGTCATCCATATGCCCTTGCTATATGCCCCACTTCACTATTGGATCAATATTATCTTCATTGAGTACAGTTAGAAACAAAGGAGCTGAGTCATGCCCTTCCCTTCCTTCAGCTGTAAACAACACACCACCCTAATGATTATCCAGGCTTAAATTTAGGGGGTCTGAGATGCCTGAGGTCACAGATCATCATTCCACTGAGTGGGAGGCACCTGGAGTCCTAAGCATGATGGGAAGCACCTGGAGTTGGAGGTGTCTGACCCTTTAAAACCTGAAAGCCAGAGTTATAGAGGGCTTCTTTTTTCTCTCTTTCATCATTCTGTTCCTGCTACAATCCCATGATCTTCAATGAATGTAGCTGCTTATATTGCAGATAGCTAAATTAGTTAGAAATTCTTTAAGGCAGTTGGACATAGCTGGGCCCTCAGCATAGAAAACAATTGAGGTCCATTCACTGGTTAGCATTATAAAAAGAGAGAAACTACTACACACACACATACACACACACGCACGCACGCACAGTGCACACGCGCATGCATGCATGCATGCCCTGTATTTCCCCTAGGGATGAGTATCAGTGATTGATAATCTAAATAGGTATCAATCACCTGGATGGGGGATCAAGCCCTTAACCCATCCCTTCCAGGAATGGTACCTTCCCCTTCCCCTACAGAAAATCTTTGTTCATTCCTTGTAGGCTTGCTACATGATTTGCTTCCCCATTTGGATCTCCATTTAATCACTAATACCTAAGCAACTATACTTGTTGTAATATTATTGGTTGATCATAGTTTTGTCCCACCTCATGTCCACCTTGTGATGTCCCATTGGACCAATATTACCTAAGCAACTGTACTTGTAATCTTACTAGTTGACTATAGTTTTGTGGTACTTTGTACCCGCCTCACCTCTTGGCTTTGTCCCATAAAATACCTTTGAGAAGCAGGGTGGGCAGGCAACCCAATTTCCGGTCCCCCTTCTGTCTCTCTTAGACAGAAGCTATCTTTCTCTCAATAAATTTTTCCTACTTTAACCTCCATTGTTCCTAGAATTCATTCTTTGATTTTAGAAAACACAAACTCGAGTTTTGGATATCCAGTAGGTTTTGGGAGTTACATGTATTCCCCCTATATCACTTACACCATACTGTGGGGTGTACACTTGGCAATACTTTCCTTGCCTTACACAAGAACCTGGACTACTTTTGGCCCATTCGTCTGTAACAGTACTCACCTCCTGATTTTGCTTTATAAAACATTCTGAGAGAGATGACCTCAGTGGTAACCCACTTGGGATTCCTCCTGTCTCTCAGAACCTATTCTTCTTTCCCATTCCTATTCCCCAATTTCCAATTGTGTGTCTAGCTCCCCTGTGAGTGCACCCTCTCTCTCTAAATCTTTCCCACTCTTTTTTTTTTTTTAATGCAGAGCAAATTTTATCTCATGTACTTTTATAGATTTTGATTCGCTATTACACAAATGCTTCCTAGGCCATTATGGAAATGGCACGCCCACCTGATGTCCACCATTGATCTCTGCCCTTGCACACAGAATCTTCACAACTTACATGAGCATATCTATCAGTGGACTGTGACAAGAGCAGCAACCCAGCCCCCACAGCCAGATGTTCAGCAGACGGCAGTGCAGAGATTCCCACTTGTCTTCACTGGAGTGACCTCAGTAACAAACCGATCAAGTGTTTCCAAGCTCTAAGTGACCAGAGGAGGGCCAGGTGTGGTGGTGCACTCCTGTAATTCCAGAACTCAGGAGGCTTAGGCAGGAGGGTTACCGTGAGTTCCAGGCCAGCCTGGGCCACATAGTGAGACTTTGTCTCAAAACATACAAACAGGGTCAGGGATGTAGCCCAGCAGCACTGCACCTGCCTGGCAAGCACAAGGTCCTGAGTTCAATCCCTGGTACCAAAAATAAAAACAAACAAAAAATGTCCAGAGGAGATTTCTGTCCAGAAATGACACAGATGATGAGGTCCCTAAGATACATCTTCCATGTCCATGTCCTGTTGTAACTGCTACACCATCTTTTCTTCCAGCGGCCTTCCACAGCCTGTGAGAGGGCCCCAGATGAGATGGATGCTCTGCTTGTCCTCCTTGATGTCCTGGTCTTTCTGGAGCTCTTTTTCTTCAACCTGTTCATTATAAATTAAGCTTGGCATGTCGCTTAATTTCTTTGGCTTTCTTCATTGCATTAATAGTTTTATTCCACAGCTTTTGCTGGTATTTGACAGGTTTATTTCTACATTTTAAAAATTGAAATGAATTATCCACTGTCAGCTCTTTACTCGCAGCTTTCCAGGTTGCTTTCATGCACTAGACCTTGTGAAGATTGTGCTTCTTTTTAAAGTTTTTAGGATATTTGGATTTACAGAATCTGAACACCCTGTAGTCCTTGTGGAAGAACATCATTCCATAGCCAGGGTAGATGGCCCCATGCAGAAGTAACACTTCCAGATATGTATGTCAGAACCTTATGGGACCACACTCACAAGCAGTGAGCAGGGAAAAGAAGCAAGGTGCTGCCACCAGAAATGGCTTTTTGCGGGGGGCCTGTGGAGAGGCAAAAACTTTATGTCAGAAGGCTGCAAAAACCTTCTAGGATTGGAGGAGAAAGAGTGCAGGAGGAAGAGAGGATAAGAAATACCATTTAAAGTCATGCCTCCAGAGCCCTACTTCCTCCTTTTGGGACCCACCTCCTAGGACACCATTCCATTGTGAACCCATCAACAACTTAAACCACTGATCCAGTCACCCCATGAACCAGTCACCCCTCATCATTCCTCTATGTCCCACCTTGAACATTTGAACATTGTTGCACTGGAGATCAAAGCTTCAAAATACAACCTTGAGGGATTATGGGGAGACTGGCCAAAGGAATGAATGAAACGAGTATGAAGATGAAGATAGGACACCTGGAACAATTAGAGCAGATCTGCAGGGCAACAACTGAGAAGAATTAGAAACAAAGTAGGGGTGGGGAGGTAGTTCAGTGACACTGCACCTGCCTTGCAAGCACAAGGTCCTGAGTTCAATCCCAAGTACCAGAAAAAAGAAAAAAAAAAGTTACTCTTAGAGATATTTGTTCCAGACATTGTGGTCCTTATGCCCCCATAAACTTGCTTAGCAGACCATCTTTTTTCCTTTCCTCTGAGGAAACATTTACACAAACGTTTTTCTTCTGCTCCTTTGTTCTCAAGTCCTTGGGTTACTAATAAAAGGCCAGAGGTTTCTCAGTTGCCACTGTTTATCTGAGACATTCTCACACAGACGAGTCCCGGTGAAGCTGTCCCTCTGGGCCTCTTGGAGTTTAAGCTGAACTTCGACTGGGAGTAATTTTTCATCCTCTGCATCGCCAGGATCCCATGCTTCAAAGTGGGTGGGGGTGGGGTAGAGTGGATTTAAGATTGAAACCATAAAATCAGCTAATTGGGATGAAGCAGAAGCATTACATGTTCAAGTCCAGTCTAGGCAACATATTGAGACCCTGTCTCAAAAGTGAAACATAAATAATCTTCCTAAAAACCTATAACTCCATTTTGATAGTGAAGAAAGAAATCAGACCAGTTCCAAAGAAAGGCATGTTACAATATAATTGACCAACACTCCTCAAAACTGTCAAAACAATTGGAAAAGGTTGGGGCAAGCCTATAGTCCCAGCACTCTGGGAGGGATAGGCAGTAGAAGTACAGGTTTGAGCCCAGCCTGGGCAACTTAGTGATATAGCATGCACACATGATTATGTTTGTTTTGTTTTGTTTTTTGTTTTGTTTGGTACTGGGGATTGAACTCCGGTCCTTGTGCTTTTGGGGCAGGTGGTGGAACCACTGAGCTAAATCCCCGGCCCCACACATGATTGTGTTTTAACATTTAAAAAAAAAAATTTAAAGAGTTGAAGAAGTAGCTTAGTGTGAAGGCCCTGGATTCGATACCAAAAAAAAAAAAAAAGTGCATCAAACTGTCCTGGAGGACTTGGTAAACCAGACAGCTAGCCCAGCACTCAGAGATCTTAAATCAATAGATCTGAGTGGGGCCTACCAGTGTGTATTTCTAACAAGGTCCCAGAGGATGCTGATGCTGAACTGATAAAACCTCCATTCTAGAAGTGGACTTCTCTGGGGCTGCCACAAGTACTAACTTGGCATCTTCCTTATGAAAGCACACACTGGGATGGATGGACCAGCAGCTGAGACTGGGTAGACTACATCTTCTGGTGTGATTATCTAGAGTCACAGTATCCTATATTTTCCTGTTGTCTTCTCCCATCTCCTGTCAAAGCAGTGTTGAAAACTTCTAATTTATCTTGTCCATGCTATTGGACTTCAAAAGAAGGAACTGGCAAGTACATGAGGCTTTGAAGAGAGACCAGTTGGGGGGGCAGCCTGCAAGTACAATGGAGTCCATTGGAATGAGTGGAACGTTTGGGCAGAAGACAGGGGCATTAAATCTTTGAGGGCAAAGCTCTAAGCCAACCTTGGAAGTTGATGTTTGTTTTAGAAATAAAAGGAACATGGCTTTTGATGTCATCTTTTAATTTCATGAGCCCCACCAGATCCCATAACAAACAGTCCTAGCCCATAGGATTCACCACCATGTGAAGGTGAATGTATAAAAGCAATTCTCCAACTTGGCCTTGATTGCCTTATCAAAGTGGTACTCCTGATAGGATACCTGGTACCCCTGTGCCTTAATGTCTATCTCCAGGCACCGCAGAAGGTCATTATTATAATAACCTAACTTACAGGGCCCAAACTTGACAACTGACATCTTTTGGGACTCCAGATAATATATAAGCTCTGCACACCGTGCAGCCTGCTCCTCACTGGACACCACACACACCACCACCTCCGAGGTACGCCTCCCCACAGCCTCTGCCCGGGACAGGCGTAGCAGGAGCTCCAGGTTCTCACTGTAGCTTGGCACTTGCAGCAAAAACTGCTTCCGGGATACCTGCTCACCAAAGATCTGAGGCATGTCCTCCAAGAGCTTGACCAAAGGCTGGATGGCATAGAACTGAGCCTCCCGATACACCTCAGGGATGTGTTGTATGGGCACCTGGCCACTGCGCAGGTAGTCCAGGATGGGATGGAAAAAGGTGCCGGGGCGGTCAATGAAGAAGCGGCCTTCAGCATCCTTGCAGGCCGAGGCTGAGCTGGAGAACATCTCTGCCAGTCTAGAGCCTGGGACTTTCCTCAGGGTGTCCGTGGTGGTGGTGAAGACCTGGCCTCCCACATTCAGCTCCACAACGCTAGATACCTGGGGGCACAAGCTCAAGGTGAACCAACAGCACCACCTCCGGGAGGCTCCTGATTTATTTTCATCCAGACAATAACCAGGAACAAGACTTGGGGCCTGAGATATTGGCTTCAGTTTATACTTACACTATATGGCAGAGCACATGGGCATTTTAAGGAGGAAAAATATCTCAGTTTGGTACCAGAACACTCATTGGAGCATTTTAACATTGTCATTTAGATCATGGAATCTTACCAGTGGAAGCTGCTGTGGAAGTCACAGTAATAATATTTTCAAAGTCTGAGGCCTCTGGCAAGCCTTTTGCCCTCCCTGTACCTCTATTTCCTCATCAATAAGCTGGGGATACAGAGTTGTTAAATCAGGAGGCCCTACTCGCAGATTCTTAGATTTATGATACAGTAAAAGATAAAAAAAAGTGAGGGAGCATTTTCTACATTTCAGAAGGATTAAAAACACAGCATATGTATTTATTCAGAAAGTACTTCTTGGGTACTTACTGGGTCTCCATATATTGTGCTATGAATTGAGGACAAGATTCAAATCCTATATCATCATCAACTCTGATTACCAGTAGCTAACCCATAGATTATTTGAAGAATGGAATTGGGCTGGGCGTGGTGGCACACGCCTGTAATCCCAGCACTTGGGAGGCCAAGGCATTGAGCATTGCTGAAAGTTTGAGGCCAGCCTGGGCTACATAGTGAGTTCGAGATAAGCCTTAACTACATAGTAAGACCCTGACTCAAAACTTTAAAAAAAGAAAAGAAAAATGGAATTGGATGGATATTTTCAAAATATAAGAGGCTTAAATAAAAATAGGAATGTTAGGGGCCAGGGATTTAGCTCAGTTGATTCGGCGCCTGCCTTGTAAGCACAAGCTCCCCAGTTTGATCCCTGGTACCAAAAAAAAAAAAAAGGAATGTTGCCAGTCATGGTTGTCCATGCTTGTAATCTCAGTGCTTGGTGAGGCTGAGTCAGGAAGATCACATCAATCCTAGGCCTGGCAAATTAATGCCAACCTGTTTCACAGTAAAAATATGAACGCTGGTTATGGAGATCAGTCCAAATGTCCTGGCTTCTATCTCCAGAACTGGAAAAATCAAAAACAAAAAACAGGAATGTTTTGTGGGAAAAGCCTAATAACACTAGATACAATAGATATAGTAGGTATAAAACTGTTTTATAAACTGTAAAGTATGGTGCAGTTTCAAACAATTTTAACTGTTCAACAGAATTTTTAAACTTCTTTTTTTTTCAGTACCGGAGATCAAACTTGGGACCTTGTGCTTGCAAAGCAGGTGCCGGAACCACTGAGCTAAATCCCCGGCCCTCAACAGAATTTTTAAAACTTCATCTCTGCCAAACACAGGGCTGATGACCAAGGACAGGATGAGACAGATGTGGAGCCTGTCTGGAGATGCCCACGGTGAGTGTAGAGAGGGGCATGGAAAGCTGGGAATTCTAGTGCTTCACACAGACCCTAGCTCTGGTTTCCTCTGTTGCTTTGTTTTTGTTTGTCTGTTTCTTCTCTTTGTGATACAGGGTCTTGCTATGTAGCCCAGGCTGGCCTTGAACTCACTGTAATCCTCTGCCTCAGCCTCCAAAGTGCTGGGATTACAGGCATACCACACACAGCGGGGCTCTGATTTCATACCCAACACCATCAACAAACAAAACAGAAGGCTACACAATGATTACTACACAAAGTGGCACATCAGTTGTTGTTCTTACAAACTGGCATCCTAAACAACTTTTGTTATATAAAATTCACTCACTTGGTCAATAAAATGTGTACGTGCCTGCTTTGTACTGTGCTGGGTACCTGGGATCCAGTGATGAACAAGCAGGACCCAACTCCTGCTCTCAGGGTCTTAAACCTGTGCACTGCATTTTTAAATGAATTACGTTTTTTTGGTTTGGTTTTTTTTGTACCAGGGATCAAACTCAGGACCTTGTACTTGCAAGGCAGGTGACGCACCACTGAGCTAAGTCCCCGGCCCTTAAATGCATTATGTAAACCAGTGATGCTGAACCTTTTAGAGCTTTCAATGTTACAAACATTCCATTGGTGATCAAGGTTGCCACCACTGATAAACTAATCAGCAGGCACCCTGGATGGTCCACTCCTATAATCCCAACACTGGGGAGGCTGGAGGATCACTGAGAGTTCAAGGCCAACCTAAACTACATAACAAGACCCTGTCTCATAAATAAATAAATTTGAAACTAACCCTCCCCTACATGCCTATCCCAATGTATTAAGTCCTCATTTTACTGATGAATAAAGCTGAAGAAGGCAAAAGGAGGCTAAATGCAGTGGCAGACACATTGGTAAATTGGCCTATTTCCATTATATCTTTAATCTCAGTACTCTGAGAGGGTGGGGGAGGACTAGAAGTTCAGGCTCAGCCTTGGTAGCTTACAGATTTAAGGAAATCTTGTCTCAAAAGAAAAAAAACCAGAAGAACTGTTTGGAGAAATAGCTCTGTGCAAAGGCCCAAGGTTCAATCCCCAGTCCATCAACAAAAAAGTACTGATAACTGGGCATGGTGTCCCCATGCCTGTAATCCCAGGATTTAGGAGGCAGGAGGATCATCATGAGTTTGCAGCCAACCTGTGCTACACAGTGAGTTAAAGCCCAGCCTAAACTACAGTGAGGCCCTGTCTCAAAAAAAAAAAAAGTATTGATATTCCCATTGGAATTCAGGTCCCTACATTCCAGAGTTTGAGTTCTTGGTCATGTTATTAGTCACCTCCATTATTCAGTCCCTGACTGACTCATTCATTCCATAAATGTGGGGGGGGGGCTATGCATCCAAGACTTTTGCTAAACACCTAGGCCATCATCCCTGCCTCAAGGAGCTCACAGGGCTAACACGCATAGGTAGTAAGGGGAAGGTTCAAAGGAAGGGGTCAGCCCTTTTCTGGCTGTGTGAAAAATAATATGATGGCTGCTGATGAACAGAAAATCTGTGCAGTCAAAGAGAAGCCTGGAAATC